ATGTGCAGATTTATAGGTCTTTTTGCCTCATGACTGTGTTTTCCCTCCTGCTCCTGCACTCCAAGCTCACACAAAGCAGTCAACCATTTACTGTAGGTCTGGCTTTTTTTTTCTACCCCCAGCAGGAAGACAGCTTCATGGTGACTGTTCACTGCTGCATGGGTCCACCTGGGACATCGCTGCACAGTTTCAGCCAAGTATGCACACACACACACACACACACACACACACACACACACAGATCCCTGCTATGAAGCGGTTTAATGACTCTTTACACCTGTCTTGTGACTGTTTGTCGTTAACAAACCAAGAAGTCATTCTGTCCTCATCAGCCGGACAGCGGTAACCTCTCGCATGCAGAATGTCAGGCTAACTAATTCAATGCTCCACTGTACGCTGTTCTCTGCTGATATTGTTTGTGGGAGCAACATGAGATGGGCCAGCCTGTGGCCATTTTTCTTAATGAGCAGTTAACTCTGGGCTGAGCTTTGCCTGCTGGCTCCACACAAAAACAATTCCCATGAACGCCCTCTTATCCTCTTACACCACTGACTTGATTTTTAGAAATACATTTCACCCTCTCGATGAAACCTTAATTAGTTCTACAGGAGATTAAATTATATGTAATTATTATGATAATATTTTCATTTATTCAAGATAAAAGGCTGACTTTAGTGAACACAGTATTTGTCGGGAGAGAGCAATCTCTCTCACACAGTCAAAGTTATCAAGGCGTGAAATCGGGAATCCTGACGGCAACAAAATGTAATCTTTTTCATACTGAAGGGACAATAGAAGGAGCTGCACACTCTCCTTCCCCACTTTAATTAAAAGAGCTCACTGAATCTCTCCCTCTCTTAGTCCCACACCTCTCTCTCTTAAGTGTGGAGGACCAATTCTATCACTATGCAGAATCTAGTTATTTCCTTTGCGCTGAACTTGTCTTAAGCCCTGAACCGGAATCTTTGTTGAAATTGCTTTTTCTTGCAAATTTTATTTCCACCCCTACCCCCCTTTTCACCGAAATGAATGCAAAAGTGCCACGGTGGAATGATTACATGTGAAAATGTGGACACGGTGTGAGAAACTAAGTAAGAGTAAGGAGCTATTAGCACTATTCAGGGATTAGCTTGTGTTCACATACAAAAGATGCCCTTAAGTGTAACCAGAACGGTCCTGTGGTTACTCTTTACATTCATTTGCTTTTTGTGAGGGGAAAAACAATGCTTTGTGTTCCCTCTGGTTAAGTTTTAATTTATGTTTGTTTAAGCCTTTATTGTGTGCAATGTTAAACACGGGTGTTTGTAATAAAGTGTGAATTTTTGTACAGCTCTCCAGTGAATCATATCACAGCATTTAAATGTGCACTTTCACTGAAAATACCACCTTGTGACTTTGCAAAAGAGCAGTATTGTAAAGGCTGATTAAAAGGACATTCAGACAACATTCACACATAACTTAATGAAAGAGAGAAATAGCTGGCGAGAAGTTGGCATTTAGAAACAGAATTGAGGTAAGAATGTGTGATTACTACCAGTCCAGTTAATGAATGCTGCATTTAAGCATTCCCAATGCCTCATTATCTGCATACTATAGTCTCTGTTTTGCATATATATTTTTACATCTTACAATAGTCAGGCTACAGAGAGGGTTTTTTTTAAGGTGTCTTGCTGCCACAGTGGCATTAAGGACGATTCATAGCCCTGGTTTCCTCCTCCTCATGTGTTGCAGTCAGTCCTACTCACCACCCTTTTCCTCTCCCCTCCCACCTCTCCTCCCCCTACAAGCCTTCTAGCCCGAGGGCAGGTAGGGCATCTCGTTATGGTAGTTGTAGTCCGGGCAAACCTTCTGCACCAGACGGTAGTCCGTACTGTAGAAAGAAATGTAGATACAGATGACCTTGAAAGGTTTGGAGCAAATCCAGGACACATGGCTCTGAATCTGCTCCTGGAAGCAGGTCTTGGATGGGTCATAGTTGCACAGCGAGGTGCGCTTGCTCCGATCCACCTTCTCATAGTCCACGCGGCAGTTGAAGATTTTGGAGTCCTTGGGGTAGACCACGCTTTGGCGCTCCAGGTCAAACTCCACCGCCTTGACAGGAGGCACTAGGCTGACTGAGATGTTGCCCTGGCCTGTGGAGTTGTGGCGGAAGTAGACGCTGAATGTGCCATTACCATGATCCACAATCTTGCCAGTAATCAGCAGGTTAAGCCGCACCGTCTTGATATTGGAATAGAAGTCTCCCCAGCCAAACATCTTCTTGAATTTGCCGGTCTTAACGATGGGCCACCGTTTGACCCTAGAGCTGGAGGCATCGGGTTTGAGCAGGTCGCTGCCCAACATCTCCCAGAACTCCTGTTTAGAAAACTCCTGCTTAGAGAAAGGGACAGGGGAGCGGTAGGGCAGTTCCAGAGAGGAGGCATTAGCAGCTCTGCTCTTACTGTGAAGCATCCAGCGACTCAGGGGTGAAAGGGAAGCCTGCCCACTCAGTAAGCCCACCGTCTTGGAGGACTCATCTGAAGAGCTCTTGGGGCTGGAAGAGTCCTCTTCTTGACCCAGGGCCACCTGGAAAGAGAGGGGTGGAGGTGGGGATCGAAGAAGAACACAAAGAAAGCAGGTGGTCATTAGCAAGGTAGAAAGAAATTTGGACAGAAAACAAATTAAAGGTGTAATCGATACTTAATTTGCTGTTCATACCTCCAGTGGTAGTAGCCATGGCATTCTATCAATATTATGGAGCCTATATAAATAAATGGTTGAAATTTTGCAGGTGTTGCTATTATTACATTCCTTTGTTTTCCTCAGCAGCGAGAGCAAATCCTCCTTTATGTCTAGTTTTCTCAGAGCTGATGTAATTCCCTATAGCTTATAAGCTCACTAGTAATGGGCTCATATGCCTCCTTTGGGGTGCTGGTGAGGCCGATCAAAAAACAGATTCAAACAAAAAATCCCCACCAAAACTGAATTCACATAAAGTGTGTTACTGCGGTCCAGGGCAGTTTAATCAATATTTGTGAGAGTGGACAATTTTCGACAAAGGCTGTAATCCTGTAACCCAATAAAGCTGTGTCATTAAAAATGCTTTCTAGAATTGTTTCTCTGACAACAGAGGTTGGAGGTTGATTTATGCACTTACAAAGTGTCTGGATGCACCAAAGGAAAGCGAGAGCCGCACTAACATGAATAAGACACTCATTTCTACACCGCAAAAACTTCATCCAAGGTGATATCTTAATATTTCCCTCTCATACAGTTTCATTTTCACCGGAACTATGTTATAAAAGGTCACTTGAAGATCACTGGAGAGAAACTGTTCTTAAACGAACAAACTTGCATTGGAAAGTAGGCTGAGCTGTGTTTTTTTGTTTTAAAGAGAGCTTTTTGCTCCTTAAGCACTACAGTGAGAGTTTGAGTACAGGAGAAACTATTACTGCCTCGAAAAATCTGGTCCAAGGATCAAAGTGTTTGAGGAAGAGGAGGTGGGCAAGGAGAGGGCACTGGGGCTGCTGAAGAATAAAGTGTAATGTTCAATTAAGACTTCCAGTGTTTTAATTAAAGGCAAAAAAAAAAAATCTGTATCGCACACACACGCAAGCTGTCAGATGTTAACATTAACTGAGGGGAGGGGCGGAGGAGTAAGGGAGATAAGATAATGCTGCTGTGCTCAGCAGTAGCTTTGTGAGGAGTGTGTGAATGTGAGAGCAAAGTAATGAGTAATTATTCAATGGCAATGATCTATTAACAGGTAGCTTCTGTGTAATGTAGCATGGACGTATCCGGCATTATTATGTCATCTGGATTTGGCAGTGCAGAACGCACACAGCGTCTGTGAATTCTGACATCTGGTAAATGTGAACAATAAGTGATGCAAATGTGAGCGGTGCTGTATGTTCATGTGTGTGTGTGTGTGTGTTCCACACAGAGAGATTTTACAGTGATGCATAATGCATGCATCCCTGTCTATGCTCTGATCCATCTACTGTCTTGACTGCCAAGGCTTCCTTATATTGGCTTAGCTAGGATTATTAAGTCTGGCTCATTTTTATTCCATTTCATGCAGTTTTTTCAAGCTCAGTCAGATTTGTTCACTTGCACCGCAGTCAGTCAGCAATATTGATTTTCTGTCTCTCTAAAAATGTATTTCCTTTCATAACAACATGCATTTCGACTGCCTTGTGAAGATTCCCACTGATGCGGTTGTGGTCTGATGATTGAACTCAAATGAGAAGACTCCTTTCTTTCCTTAATCTGGCCTTATTCCCACGGGGGTGTTGGGACAGACGCCTGCTCCTCTAGTTACCTGTCTGCTGCTACACAACACTGCCGCTCAGATCCTTCAGGCTCCCCACAGAGGCTGATAACAGTCCAGTCATGAACTCCTTTCTCCTGAGTCAGATCGTTCTGATGGCTTCTTTGAGAATCCCAAGCTCATTATTAATGAACAAAAATATGGAAGAGTCAGAAGACATTGATTTTAATCTTTTCAAATGTATCTTTTGTTTCAGGAGAGGGAGTTGAGACCAGTCAGGACGACTTTGATGGCAAATACTGTACAACATCCCCCACAGTTACTATCGAATGACTAGTTTGTGTGTGATTTCTATTCTTCGTCGAGTCAGTGGTTGCTGGGCACACAGGGTCGCACGCTGCCTGCATCCCCAGATGGTATTTGAGAGCCCTTGTGGTGTCCTACAAAAAGGCCCTTTACGGTTCTTGAAAAACATGCCACTCTTTATTCCTGTGACACTACCCCTTGTTTTTATGATTGTGATAATTTTGCAGGCATTGGCACTTGTCTAGAGTGACTCTTAGATGGCACCAGTGCTGAGCAAAAACATACTGCAGTTTGCTTTGTTGTAGCTTACATGTTGAGCAAGGCATCCTCCCTCTCTTGCACAGTCTTCATTAGAGGCCAGGCTGCAGGAGGAGAAATGAAGTGAACCTTGTGCTATTGTTAAACAGAAGCTTTAAGTGTCTGGCACCACTGGAGGTGTCAGATTCAGTGTGAAGCATCACTGTCAAAGACAAATATTAGAATGAGCTTTATACAGCTCTGAAAAAGAGGAGCCAAACCTGTAATGATTACTGTAGTGTAAGAGAACACACACTGTGCAGTTGCCCAAAGCACCACGATGCCTGTAAATACCATTGTGGTTTAACTTTTGCAGGTAAATGTTCTCACAGTTGGCCTGTAGTGTGGATTTTTACCTGCCTTCAAACAATAGGTGGTCTGGTGAAAGATGCATTTCTAAGGTCACTGAGGTCACACATTATACAGCAGCACATAACACATTTTTATTATTAAATATAATAACAAGCACTGCTTCTCTGCTCAGTTCTGAAAAACTGCATACTGCTACAACTCTCTTGTGACGCTGCATTTAACTAGCAGAGTATATGAGGTGTAAGATTTAACTATCAGCATACTCCCAGCTTTGACTTTATGCAAGGTAAGCACGTTGAAATGGTGTAAAGTAACCCAGGAGCTCACTGTTGTCTTTACAGTGCCAAAAGAGTACTGCATTGCTTCACTCTGCTTGGAATGTTTTCACATTTTAGCATGTACACCCTGACATTGCTTCGTTAATATACTAATGTTGTCTGCTCATAATAGCAAAATTGTTTTCATGTTTAAAATACAATCTAAGGAGTAATCCATTGATGAGGCACCACAGATAATACAAATATCTACAGTATTAGTATTATATCTACAGTAGCATTAAAGAGGTGTTTTCATAAGCTGGGAAAATGCAGCAGAGATTTCCAGGTTGCAGGTGTAATGTCAAAGGTTTCATGTTCACTCATACTAACATATGCACGTCAATAGTCATAATACAGTGAAATGTTCAGAAAGGCTGGAGCAAGTTTCTTTCAGATAAGTTTGTGTCGTCTCATGAAGCTTGCCAAGATGTATCCCAGCTTTAAATACTGTAGGCAAAGTGTGGGCGCTAGGCAATCAGGCCTTAGTGAGGGGGTGGAGGTGCAGGGTGATTTTGTCATTTGTCATGTGCGCTAAGTGAGTCAGTGAAACGGCTGGAGAGGATGGGAGGTGGCTGCAGTCTCTGTCGCTGTGGTAATTGTGAGTCATTCAGCCTCAGTGAGCACAGGCCGCAGGCCTCTCTCCCAGCAGGGAGTGTGGCGAGAGGAGAGATCCTCACAAGCCTGCCAGCTCCGCAGGCAATAATCAGCCTGTTACAGCGACAGGTACGCCGTTTTAACCCCTTCCTCCTGCTGACAGAAGCAGCGTATTGCCATAATGTAGCACTGAGATCAGGGAGTTACCTAACTGATTTCTGTGCCACAACTCCAACAGAAGCAATGTGTCAGGCCATGTGTTGTTGTCTGAATATTAAACTTACACTTGAGTTTAGACATTCAGACTGGGGTTTCTGAAAATTAATAAATGACAGTGTTGTAATTTTTCTAGCATCATTTTGGTTACAGCTTCTCCAGTGCACGTCTTGGATTCCTTTGGTTGGTTGAATAAAACAAGGTATTTGAAAACATTAGAATTTTCATTATAAAAATTATAGATCAAACGATTCATTTCTAAAGTCGGCTATAATGAATATTATGAACATTTGTATAAAAAAAGTATATGAAACTCTATGGCGTGTTTTAACATCTTCAAGCTCCTTTTGTAATTTTCCTGCTTTGGTTCATGCTTGCCAGTCTGAAAACCCACTGTTCACTTCCTGCCCAGCACCAAACAGCAAACAGACAAAGTTAGCAACTAGATGGTGAACATGATGGAGCATTTAGCAGCTAAAGCGTCAGATACTTTCTTCAGAAACAGAATGATTGTTGGATCCATCTGGTGGCAAGAAACACAGTTCCACATAAATCCTTATGTTGCTTAGTATCTGCTGGATGTAAATTACTGGCTAGGAAATACGCCATATCAACGTAGACTGTGAGACAGAGGTCAGTGTGTTATCTTCACATCTTATTTCTGTTGCCTTCAAGTGGCCGAAATATCTGTTACCTCAGGTTTAAGTAACAGAGAAAATAAGAAGCAGAGCAACTCCTAAAAAAAGAAAAACTGTTCATTGCAGCCTTATCTGGTACTCTGGTGCAGGGACAAGGTTTTATACATTTAACTTTTTAATTAATGCTACATTTTTACTAGGATAAATATATCCCATTAGGCACCAATTTGGACATTTGCAGGTGAAAATATGTTGAGAAATCTTGGTTAAAACGCAAGTAAATTTGGTACAAAAGCGGCCATTTTAGATGCCTAAATTACATGTAAATATTTCTACAACATTTCAGTGACAATGTTTTAGAATCTATTTCACTCTGAAAGTCAAACAAGTCCTAGTCATTTAAGTATCAAATGTTTTGACCTGTAAATCACCCAAGAAATCCTTCCTGGTATGTGTATGTATGAACCTTTTGAATCTGCCTGTTGCACAACCCAGCAGGGCTGAAAGCATGTACTTGTCTTAAGGAGGTGACAAGTTCAATAGGCATTCGATTTCCTTCTAGCTGCTGAGAATCTTCGTCTCTAATATGACATCAATTTTTAATTAAAGACCCAGGCAGCTCAGATTTTTTTAAGT